ATCCTTCCCCTGTGGCACTAATATCGGCCCTTTGGTGTCAGTATCTACCCAAGGGCACCATCCTAGAGCCCTTGAGTGCCGCCGGCCATCATGATGTTGTGTTGCACTCCAGTATCCACCACAAGATCACTGCTCGACCCCGAGACCCCAAAATCATCCCCAAAGCCACAATGTTCCAGCCCAAGGATCAGATATATCTGGCTCCCGGACCCCCCCAGAATCCACCCCTCTCCCCATCAGGCCTCCGTAAACCAGAGGTCTGGCTATAACGCCGTGACCTGCAGCCCTCGGCAGCAGCGTTCCAGTGTAGCCGGCGATCGTTTAGAGGGAATTGTGAGGCAACTTAGACAAGACAAAGATGCTACCAGCCAGCCATGACCCTCTCTTGATTCTCGTCCGATTTTCGATGGGAGGAGATGCTGTAGGTAGAGGCAGGAGGTTATCTGGAGATGATTTCGAGGCTTTAGTGTCCCCGAGGCCCGGTCCTCAACCAGGCCTCCATCCCCCAGGAAGCAGCCTGTGACAGCTGACTAACTCCCAGGTACCTATTTACTGCTAGGTAACACGGGCATCAGGGTGAAAGAAACTCTGCCCATTGTTCTCGCCGGCGCCCGGGATCGAATCCGGGACCATAGGATTACGCGTCCAGTGTTCTGTCAGGCTCCGCCACCGGCTCCCTATTAGGAGCACTATTGACTTTGTACATATCTGACGGGAATGGAGGGAAGGAAAGAACGAGGTCAGAGACAGGTATCTCAGACAGACATAATCTGCGCCTCCACCCATTTTCCGAAGTTTCCCCTGGTGTTCGTTGGGGATTTAGAGTGTGACTTTTGCACGAAGAGTTAAAAAAAAAAAATTAAATGCATAATATTTTGTACCCAAAGTTTCGCCGACACACTCTTAGTATCTGTGTGGGTGTGTTAGCTGCTCTCCCTCTCATCAGGGAAGCTGCCAACTCCTACTTTTAAGAAGTGGAATTTGTTGCTTAACGAATCATTTACTTCTGAGGTTCTTGAGTGAGTATTACAGAGCCTGGGCGAGATAGCATGGAAGAGCTAAATGTTTAACTGAGTATTTTACACTTAGGAAGATTTACAAAACAAAAATACAAAACATAAATACTTATTCAAGTAAAGTACATACATAGATACAAAACGTTGGTGGATTTATAGATAGAGCTAGTACATACAATGCCTAAAGCCACTCCGCCATTTAATGCCATTTAATCCAATTTAATGATAAGCAGCTGGGGTTATGCCTATACCAAGCTGGCAGCTTAAGCTATGACTAAGCCAGAAAAACGAACGCCAACTGGTACACTTCCCTGTCACTGGAGATTCGAACTCTGAACTACGAGACTGTCAGGACAGGACGAAGTCTCCTCCTCTCCGCCAGGAACGGAATGTCGGTTCTAGACTCCTTTGCCACGGCGTAAATCATCAACTGATGGGATGGCTGTACTTTGAAATTGTGAAAATATGCAATATGTTTTATTTTCACTCTTATAGCGAAATATGCAAATTGTTATATATGCAAATTAGCAATATCAGTTAAGTATTTTTATATAAAATTTCCGCAATGTATTTTTAAACACCGTGAATTCAAATTTGTTGAAATCTTTTTGCATGAGAAGAGACAAAAAGTAATTCAACCCTTTTTTAACCCATTTAAATCATATCAAAATAAATTATATTAGGATTAAAAATTTAAATGTACATTATATTCTTAAAATTTTAGAAAATGATATATTAATGTTACATCATTAAAACATGAAGGGTAGTTTTTTTTTTGGGGGGGGGGGGGAGAGGGGTTCTTAACACATCCCAGTTGGTGCTAAATGACGCAGTGATTATGACCATTATGATTATGGCAGTAAATGACCAAAACCAAATTGAAATAAAAATCGCACGTTTTTTCCTGCTTGTTCAACATCTTTTTTCATTTTGTCCTAGATGAGAAGGACAAGAAAGGTAAGGTGAGACAGGAGACAGCCATTACGACTGTGTAGCATTTGGAAGGGGTCAGGATAAGCCTTTGGGATGGGACGAGGGGAAGGAATGGTGCCCAAACCACTTATAGACGGTCGGGGATTGATCTCCGACCTGCAAGATGCGAGACCGTCGCTCTACCGTCTATGATTTCTAACTCTGCTTTAATAAATATTTCATTTTTAGTAAATACCGAAAGCGTGTTTTTGTCCACCAATAGAATTTATATGCACAAGATCTTAAGTTTTCTCCTACAAAACCATTTAAAATTACTCTCAATAAACGTATGATTAAACATATGAAAATGATGTTTTTCGACCAAATATCTTTGGCAATATAAGTACATCTTAAACGTCAGCAAAATACTCACTATACAAAATAAATAAAAACTCCATATTAAAAAACAAACATCGCCACGTATTTCCCATATACATATAGTTGAACTATACGTATACAGGAGTATACACACTGAGAGGCGAATTCCATTTCTCAGAATACGAACACAGAGTTTACTTAAGATCTAAACTATAAAAAATTATACTTTCTGGAGGGTTAATAAATTAGCAGCCTGAATAACTTGTTAAATTATAAGGCCTAATACCCACCACTACATAATAACAAGATACAAAATTATTCAGGTGTATTTCTGGCACATATAACTCAACGTTTATTGCGTAAAAAATCATATGTAATAAAAATTCATGAATTTAAATTAAGAAAATAAAAAACTATTAATTTTTAATTATTCTTAGTATTAGTGCTGAAAAATTAAAATTTATGAGTACCTAGAATCTGAAAAAGTAATAATTTGTTCGCACACTTTTCTGTAGCAATAATTCGTTCATGATTTCTTAAATTACAATCATTCCTCCATAAAACTTAATAGCGATAATTTCTTCACGTCATCTTCCAAATTGGCATAAATTTCCTATTACCGAGAGACCGTCTTGAACCGCTCCTATTATAAACGTCCCACGAGACAGATAATTTCGTTACAAAATTACTTATTTCTCTTATATCATAAATACACACGACTTCAATTTATTTTTAGATTAATGGTTAAAGTATATTTGGTTCTTACCTTCACTATAACACTATTCATTGAAGCTTTATTATACAAAGGGAAATTTGTGGGCTTTTCGGGCTTATTAACAAAGTCTTTCTAGACTAACTTCCCTACCTTAACAATAACCTTAACTAACCCAGAATAGTTATCATAACCTAACCTAGCCTAGAGTATCCTAAGTCTCGCTCTTTATACCCCCGTGTTGCAAAGCTCCGTTAAATTCCACATTCTTAAAAAACAACCCCAGAACTGAGTACTCGTTGCAATAATTGATGCCACCCTTCATGAGATGATCTCGTTCTGCTGGGCGCTCAGTCCTACGACGAGACTCGATTCCATTATGGGTAAGGATTTTTTGGGCTTCGGTAAAAAAGTTTCCGTTGTTCGTGCGTTATATTTTCAGCCTTACGTCTCTAATGCACAGAGGGGGGATTCCAGTGAGGTACTGAACCTGTGTATATGTTTCTCTTCTAGTATCAACACTGCAGGGAGATAGATCAGATGTCAGTTGCAATACAGATACCAAACGTCACTCCGTTCTGCCCGGAGCGCCAGAGTACATGAATATTTCGAACAGATTAATTCGTGAATTATGCGGATCTACGATAATGAAAACTCGCTTTTCAGCTCTGTCGTGTTTATATACAAAGTGGCTTATTGATGAAAAATATATTTCACGTTTAATAATGCATTTTTCTCATTGTAGCTGCTGTTACTGCTATCTGTAGCTGTTGCTGCTATCTGTAGCTGTTGCTGCTAACTGTAGCTGCTCCTGCCTAACTATAGCTGCTCCTGTTGCTAAACATAGCCGCTAACGTCGCTAACATATTCAACCTTTAGAGATTTGCTTATTTAGTAAAAGGAGGCTGCTGGTCTATAAGAACTCCTGGCGGATTGAGATAAGGTACAAGTTGTTGGATGAAAAAGATTGCCACGAGAGAGCGTGCTGAAAACAATGGGTTGCTATGGTTACGCAGACTCTCCTCCACTAGCCAAGGAAATGTGCACTTACATAGTTGTGCTCGCGGGGGTTGAGTTCTGGCTCTTTGGTCCCGCCTCTCAACTGTTAATCAACTGGTGTACATGTTTCTGAGCCTATTGGGAGTCAGCCTCCACCACATCACTTCCAAATGTATTTTACTTGTCACCCACTGTGTGTGTGTGTGTGTGTGTGTGTGTGTGTGTGTGTGTGTGTGTGTGTGTGTGTGTGTGTGTGTGTGTGTGTACTAGTAGAGAATGAGTCTGAAAATCAACTAGAGATGAGTGTGAAATACATTCAAATTCAAATAAATTCACACTCAAATGATTCATAAATGTTTTGTGCATTTATACTTAGGTTAGTTTACACAAAGTTACAGTAAATTGTTTACCTATGAGAACTTCGTAATAATATCACAATATGCAATATGTATAATTATATTCTGTACTGTTTACTCAAGATTTAGATTTAGAAGCTAAATTTATCAGTGATTTCAAAATCATTATATATGTCAAATTCAGAATTAGAACCTGTGTCCGTAACACGACCTACAAATCATTACAATAAAGTCTGAACTTAACAGATGAACAGCAGTGTAAATCAAACTTACTTTTTTCGCATAGAATAACATCTACCTTACAAGTTACGAGTATTTTCTTTAAACTTGATCGTGAATGAAGTAGAACACACAAAGACTTAGCAAAGTTCAATGGGGTATGTCGCAAGGATTGAACTTAATTAACTAGAAAACTGTTAAATAATACCAATTTAAGAAACACTAACTTAGGGAACATTTGCCTATAAGTACCCGGTCAATTGGCGTCTAACTTGGCTGGGATTATTTCGCGAAAGATCAACCAATTCAAACTTCAGTAATGTCTAAGAGTTACACAAGGGCAAAAAATCTTGCAATAGATCTCCCTAAAGAGTGGATTCTGTCTTCTCGCAGCTGACAAAAATAAACTCAAAGTTTAAATGGACTTAAGTCTTGCAAGTTGGTGTCCTGACTTGTCGTTCTTGGTATTATGCTTGTGTGGTGACGTGTGGTGTCTGATCTTCCTGGTGGTGTCTGATCTTCCTGGTGAGTTGTGGTGTCTGATCTTCCTGGTGACTTGTAGTGTCTGATCTTCCTGGTGACTTGTAGTGTCGTATCTTCCTGGTGACTTGTGGTGTCTGATCTTCCTGGTGACTTGTAGTGTCTGATCTTCCTGGTGACTTGTAGTGTCTGATCTTCCTGGTGACTTGTAGTGTCTGATCTTCCTGGTGACTTGTAGTGTCTGATCTTCCTGGTGACTTGTAGTGTCTGATCTTCCTGGTGAAGTGTGGTGTCTGATCTTCCTGGTGAGCTGTGGTGTCTGATCTTCCTGGTGAGCTGTGGTGTCTGATCTTCCTGGTGAGTTGTGGTGTCTGATCTTCCTGGTGAGCTGTGGTGTCTGATCTTCCTGGTGAGTTGTGGTGTCTGATCTTCCTGGTGACGTGTGGTGTCTGATCTTCCTGGTGACTTGTAGTGTCTGATCTTCCTGGTGAGCTGTGGTGTCTGATCTTCCTGGTGACTTGTGGTGTCTGATCTTCCTGGTGAGTTGTGGTGTCTGATCTTCCTGGTGAGTTGTGGTGTCTGATCTTCCTGGTGACTTGTAGTGTCTGATCTTCCTGGTGAGTTGTGGTGTCTGATCTTCCTGGTGACATGTAGTGTCTGATCTTCCTGGTGAGTTGTGGTGTCTGATCTTCCTGGTGAGTTGTGGTGTCTGATCTTCCTGGGGAGTTGTGGTGTCTGATCTTCCTGGTGAGTTGTGGTGTCTGATCTTCCTGGTGAGTTGTGGTGTCTGATCTTCCTGGTGAGTTGTGGTGTCTGATCTTCCTGGTGACTTGTAGTGTCTGATCTTCCTGGTGAGTTGTGGTGTCTGATCTTCCTGGTGAGTTGTGGTGTCTGATCTTCCTGGGGAGTTGTGGTGTCTGATCTTCCTGGTGAGTTGTGGTGTCTGATCTTCCTGGTGAGTTGTGGTGTCTGATCTTCCTGGTGAGTTGTGGTGTCTGATCTTCCTGGTGAGTTGTGGTGTCTGATCTTCCTGGTGACTTGTAGTGTCTGATCTTCCTGGTGAGTTGTGGTGTCTGATCTTCCTGGTGACTTGTAGTGTCTGATCTTCCTGGTGAGTTGTGGTGTCTGATCTTCCTGGTGAGTTGTGGTGTCTGATCTTCCTGGTGACTTGTAGTGTCTGATCTTCCTGGTGAGTTGTGGTGTCTGATCTTCCTGGTGAGTTGTGGTGTCTGATCTTCCTGGTGAGTTGTGGTGTCTGATCTTCCTGGTGACTTGTAGTGTCTGATCATACTGGTGAGTTGTGGTGTCTGATCTTCCTGGTGAGTTGTGGTGTCTGATCTTCCTGGTGAGTTGTGGTGTCTGATCTTCCTGGTGACTTGTAGTGTCTGATCTTCCTGGTAACTTGTGGTGTCTGATCTTCCTGGTGACTTGTAGTGTCTGATCTTCCTGGTGACTTGTAGTGTCTGATCTTCCTGGTGACTTGTAGTGTCTGATCATACTGGTGAGTTGTGGTGTCTGATCTTCCTGGTGAGTTGTGGTGTCTGATCTTCCTGGTGAGTTGTGGTGTCTGATCTTCCTGGTGAGTTGTGGTGTCTGATCTTCCTGGTGACTTGTAGTGTCTGATCTTCCTGGTGACTTGTAGTGTCTGATCTTCCTGGTAACTTGTGGTGTCTGATCTTCCTGGTGACTTGTGGTGTCTGATCTTCCTGGTGACGTGTGGTGTCTGATCTTCCTGGTGACGTGTGGTGTCTGATCTTCCTGGTGACTTGTAGTGTCTGATCTTCCTGGTGACTTGTAGTGTCTGATCTTCCTGGTCACGTGTGGTGTCTGATCTTCCTGGTGAGCTGTGGTGTCTGATCTTCCTGGTGAGCTGTGGTGTCTGATCTTCCTGGTGAGTTGTGGTGTCTAATCTTCCTGGTGACTTGTAGTGTCTGATCTTCCTGGTGAGTTGTGGTGTCTGATCTTCCTGGTGACTTGTAGTGTCTGATCTTCCTGGTGACTTGTAGTGTCTGATCTTCCTGGTGACTTGTAGTGTCTGATCTTCCTGGTGACGTGTGGTGTCTGATCTTCTCTGTGTTGTGGGTTTAGCAGTCAATATGTCGTATATTCCATCCTACTTGTTATTGATGCTGTAACGTTTGGGGAATATGGTAATGCTCCTCATAAATACAGCACGTATTCACGAACGCTGCCAAGCGTAACCTAGGCCTGACGGCTGAGTGGACAGCGCTCGGGATTCGTAGTGCTAAGGATCCGGGTTCGATCCCCGGCGGAGGCGGAAAGAAATGGGCAGAGTTCTTTTCAGCCTGATGCTCTGGTTTACCTTGCAGTAAATAGGTACCTGGTAGTCAGACAGTTGCTACGGGGTGCTTCCTGGGGGTGTGTAACAAAAAGGAGGCATGGTCGAGTACCGGGCCGCGCGGACGCAAAGCCCCGAAATCATCTCAAGATAACTTCATGAAGGGTCGGCATCTGGATGGATTGAACATACCATGAGAACAGTTTGGCTAGGAATCATTCACATACGTACAGCAAATACAAATAATGGCCAGGAGTAGAAAAACACCTAACCTAGGTCTAATTATTTACGAAACTTTTAAAAATATAAAATCAATTACATAGTTCAGAAATGAAATATCGTTTTACTGACAATGATGAGAACCATGAATGTTGTGTGGGATGAGTAGATGTTTGAGGAGAGTAGATACTTGGTAGATGAACATAGCTCATTGGATTGAGCTATGTTCATCTACCAAATTCACGAGTCATTCTCACGATTCATCAAGCCACTTACGTGTTCACTTACGATACTGGAAGCTTTTGAGGTTAACGATATCGATTTACTATACCCTCGTGCACTCGTTTAAGACTTACGGTTCACCTAAGTCTGTCTAGCTTCTCGGGTCTAGATTCAGCCAGATCATTAAGACATTCCTAATGACTCATAAGTGTGAATCTCTCATGCTGCAACCCACCACAGTTATGTGAGTCAGTGTGTTACCTCGTAAGATTCATATCAACAGTGGTATATATATATATTATGGCACTATACATGACTGTACTGGCATATACTACAGAACTATACATGACTACTGGTATTTGCTACAGCACTATACATGACTCTTCTTAGCATCATACCAATACGCTCCATACGACATGCCGATGTTAGTCACCACCACCTCAATCACTACAACCACCATCACAATCATTACCCTCTGTAAAAACCACTATCACCACCTCACTATCACCCATCATTACCACAACCTTCATCACTATCAGCATCATCATCATCACCAACACCATCGCTCATCAAAACGACCACCATCTCCTCTACCACCAACACCCCCACCACCTTCACCACCACTATCACCCCCATCACCACCACTATCACCCCCACTATCACCATCACCACACTCGAGTACTCTCTCTCGACACACCAGTACCCTCACTATCGTCCCTTCTCATGGAACAGATCAGTCAGCTGTGTGAGACGGCCCAACACACCAGGGAAAGGAAGAGAAAAACATTAGGAAAAATATTTTCCTGTTTTTACTGAACTCTCGGAAGCTCCCCTTCATTATTTCCCCTCCTTCCTTCCCTCCCTTCGCCTTACCTTACACTTCTTACCTTCCTCCCTTCACCACCATAATATATATCACCCCTCCCCACCATCTACCATCAGAATATATGCGGGCTGAGTTACAGTTTTTCAATTTTATTGGAAGTTTAGGGTGCTGTATTGTATTTAAATTCATGGCTTGTATTGCATGTTGGTTTTATTAAGAGGAAAGAGGATGGAGGTATTCCCCTCAGTTGGCAATATATATACACCCAGTTGGCACTATATTCACCTAGTTGGCACTATATCCAGGAACAACGTCAATTCAACGCCGAACCAACGTTAATTGTCGTTACGAATCACTCTTTGTCGTTACGACCACTGGGACTCTCTGACGAGGACAGGAATCCTTGTATTCAGAATTCGGGAGATCGTCGACACGAATCTAGCAGAGCGGAAAATGGAAGAATGTACATACTGTTTCGCCCAGTCACACTGACTTTCCTAGGAATAAATGAATGGGTTTGATAACGATCATATGACATGTTGTTGACCAAACCACACACAAAACAGTGAAGGGACGACAACGTTTCGGTCCGTCCTGGAGCGTTCTGAACGTCCTGGACCATTCATAATCGACCTGAGAATGGTCCAGGATGGACCGAAACGTCGTCGTCCCCTCACTTTCTAGTGTGTGGTTTGGTCAACATATTTCAGCCACGTTATTGTGACTCCTCGTCTGCATGTGGCATGTTGTACACACGACTAAGTGTGGATGAAGTCAAAGGGGGGGGGGGGGGATCCATTCACGGCTGTGTCCGAGATACTTGAGCTTATATTGCAAAATATGTGTCACTATATACGGCTATTTGTCGGGGATATTATAGATTACAAAAAATATAATTTAATATAACAGGACCAATTTGATAAAAAGAGGACAAGGGAGGAGGAAGGAAGTGTTCTGTAGCAGAGTAGTTTACGTTCTCGGTACACACTCGAAGGATATGGGTTTAATCTTCTACCAGGATGGTAGAAGGATGGTAGAAGGGGCCTGGCAGCTGAGTGGACAGTGCTTCGGATTCGTAGTCCTGAGGTTCCAGGTTCTATCCGGAAAGAGGAGGCGGAAACAAATGGAGTAGAGCTTCTTTCACCCCTGATGCTCCTGTTACCTAGCAGTAAATTGGTACCTGGGAGTTAGACAGCTGCTACGGGCTGCATCTTGTGGGTGTGTAATAAAAAGGAGGCCTGGTCGAGGACCGGGCCGCGTGGACGATAAGCCCCGAAATCATCTTAATAAGATGACCTCAAGATAACTTCAAGGATAGAAACAGCAGAGCACATTTCCTTTCACCTGATGCGTCTATTCATCTAAAATTAAAATAAGTACCTGAAAGTAAGGTAAATAATTTAAACTGCATCTTGGGTAAGGTGTATTGTTGAAAAAAGGGGAGGATCTAGCACCTGATGCCTCTGTTCACCAAACAGTTAATAAATACCCTTGATTAGGCAACTTGTTGTGGGTAGTATTCTGGGAAAGGTCAGTATAGCTGGTCTAGCAGTTATTTCTCTTCGTGATAGGAACTATGAGGCGGGGAATTTTTATATCGGAACCCTGCTATTTCTGTACCTGGCACAAGTTATCGTGGGAGAAGACTGTCAAGAGCAGCGTAGCGGAGACGCACCAAGTTTAAGACGTCCGAGAAAGGTGGCAGAGGCAAAAGTTTTTCAGACCTCCTTGTTTAAATCTTCCAAGACTCTCTCTCTCTCTCTCTCTCTCTCTCTCTCTCTCTCTCTCTCTCTCTCTCTCTCTCTCTCTCTCTCTATCACAATGTGCTTGGGTCTTACAGCTCTTTACCTTTCTCAGCTCGACTCTGCATGTCTTCCACTTATTATTCTTCCCCCGACACACACACACACACACATACACACACACACACACACACACACACACACACACACACACACACACACACACACACACACACACACACATTTTTCAGGTCATTCATTTATCTGTAGCAATCGCATATTTTCTCCCCCGAGACACAGATTATGGCTCAATATACAACGAAACTACAGCGATTTCTGTTCTTCACTGTAGCTCCTGGGATTTGTCGCACACTCGAGGAGGTGATGCGAGGAACATATCATGCACAGGGAAAACCACAATTACCTGAAGTCTCTATGAGATAATCTCTGGAGCTGTGCGTGGGATTGAACTCTCGTTCTGGGTCATCCCAAGCACACTGTTCCAAAGATTTTGTTGAAAGAAGTGATGTCTCATCGCCTCACTTTTAAATGATTAGTGAAGCTGACTTTAACGTAAGATCAACGAGTGGGAATCACTTAAGTGAAGCATAAACATCTTATTTTAATGTAAGTGATTCGCCCTCGATAATCATAAGTCGTGCAAGAATACCTTGAGTAAAGAGAAAGTCAAGCAAGTGTTGCACGGATGATTCTTATATCCAACGAAATAACGGAAGCAGGAAAAATATTTCAATATATGAGCCTGAGGAAATAATAAATGGTAACGTAGTGGAAGAATGAAAAAGTTTTTGAGAATTTTTGAGAAATTTTCTTTTCTTCTCCGGATGTTACAGCAAATCTCTGCCGTTCTGCCTGTCTCTTGCTGTTCTTCCCGTCTGTTGCCGTTCCTCCCGTTCTTTGCTGTTCTTTCTGTTACTGTTATTCCTGCCTGTTGCTGTTCTCCTGTCTACCGTTTATCATTGATAGTCATGCTCACCCACATTCAGCCTGAAAGACTGACGGAGGGTCATCAAGTCCACTACGGGCTCACATAGCCCGTGCTACTTGGAACTTTTTGTTCCAGGTAGCGAATCTTAAACAACAACAAGGAGGGCCATGTTCACCAGCATGACTGGCAGCACATCGCCTGGAGCCTGAACGAGCAACATGGATTACTTTGAGACCAACA